GCTCCACTGACAACTGACACCTAAAACTCTCTTGGCCTCAGCTTCAGTACATACTTGAATATGTTTCAGCATCTGGGGCGTGATTATGATGTCAAAAGTGCTCGACAGCTCACCATACTTCACACATTTCTTAGCATAGGGAGTTGGTCCTGGTCTAGCCTTAAACACATTCTGTGATGGAATCCTACCAACAATAGATGTTTCGAACTCCACTGCGATCCACGTGCTACCATCTTTCGATACGTGAAGCTCAACTGGAGATACCGAATCGGTTGATACACTCTCTCTAGGGTCCTTATATGGAGTGTAATCATCAGACGTTTGACTATCAGACATGCTGTGATCTGCTGACTCATAGAAGATGGAGTCCTCATCAACATCATAATCGTTCTCGTCTCCAGACTCTTTATCATCGGTGGTTGTAAGTTCTCGTAAAACCTCAAAGGCTGTTTTCCTCAGAAGTGCCATTGTGTACAAAAATGTCACTGGAATTTATCTGACTGAACGCACAATATCACAGTAAAATCGTGATTCGGCTAGTTTTCACTCCCGTTTTGACTGCTATAGTATATAACTGTCAGAAATGATAGTGGTGGTTAAAAATAAAAAGAGGAACCGGATTAGAGAGAAGCGGTCATTTTGACCGCTAACGGGCTTTCTAGGTAGTATGAACACAGCTACCTCTTTTCTCGAAAACTATAACAGATATGAAAACGAAAATTCACAGTAATGAAGAACGTCCAAAAATATTAAAAGTCACGAAATATCTTTGAAAAATGTCCATAAATGTAGAAAATATGCACATTTAAAAACGCTGAGCGGTCAAAATGACCGCTCCGGGCGTCCTAGTGTTAATGATGCAATAGCTGAGAAAGATGGCCAGATGATCCATGTTCAACCACGTCGACTAGCTCGTTGGACTCCGCCATTTTGCGGACGCGCCGTTTTGGTGCTGCTGATTTTCGCGGATTATTCAACAATATTGCTGCTAAGCATAGAGCTTACACTCATTCTACTCGGGGGTTTTGCTCTACAATTGGACATTCAATTGTTGAATTACTCTTAACGCCACAACATGTTATTCACCTCGGTAAGTTGGATGGAGTTATAACTGATATTCAAGCGCAAGTAGTTTCTGTCAAAGTTTTTTACTCTCACTCGTTATCAACCAACGCCTTTGGCTCAAAAGCATGTCCGCAAGGCAACGAGGAGTGGTAGCAATCCTGTTTTACAGAAAGGGATGTCGTCCATTTTCAACCCCCAACTTGGATGAGGAGACCGAGATAATCCTTGCTAACCTGTTAGGTGCAGCTCTTAAGCGGTCTAAGGGCACCCATCCAGTACAGCTCAGTGGGCCGAAAAGATATGCATTGCCGCACCATGTTAAAAGTCAGTCTCATTGCGACGGTTTTCTCACGATGCCCAGCGCGGACACCTAGCAACAATGTTGAAACACGTGCTTCGATTTATCAAAATAGGAATAACAGTCATCGTCTGCGACGCTTTAATTTATGAAAGCAGTACACCAGAATAATTTAACAGGTTACATCCTTCAATGACTCACCGGCTGAAAACGATAGCAGCATGGCTTTCTTAGACGTTCCATTACTTGGCCTATCAGGTCGACAGACTTAGAGAGACTAGCTAAGTTCGGCCATCGCAGCCTACCTCATGGCTGGGATGGAAGCAATGCGTGAGCAGTGAATGTGTTCGGCGTCGTGTATTTGGTGCATAAAGAGCGGGTGAAACGCTCAGCACCACGATGTCACGTACTAGGCTCCGATGGCTGGGCCAAGTGCGTTGTTTGCACGCCCGAGGTCTGGATGAGAGAGAAAGAGGGGAGGCCAAGCATTGACTTGGTCAGGAGGAATGGACACACTCGCTGACATGGCAAGGAGACGGCCCAAATGGCGTCCATGCTGTGAGTTTCGTCGTCCATCCCCCTCTCCTTTAGATTCCACTTCTAAGTACGATCTCGTAGCAAATAATTAATATGATAGTTGAGATTATAGTACCTAGTTTTTGAAATTTTGTAGTGGGGGTTTAATTATCTTATCGTTTTGTATTGCGGCACATTCGCTGGTGTGTGTTTCTCACACTCAGCTAAAGTATATTGATAATGATAAATAAAAATAAATATATGTGTCAGCTGTACGTCGAAACGGCGTCTCGCTGCCGCGCGACCACCACGCGCGCGGCTGAGTACACCACGAGGACGCCCACCAATACGCGGATTCGAACCAGGGATCTTATGGTTAGAAATCAGGTGCGCAGACCATTCGGCCACCGGCCGAGTGGTCAAGTGAAGAAATTGTTTTCCGAAACGTGGAGTGGGAGGGCCAATAGATCCACTGTCCCAGAGGCGTAGCAGAAACTTTATCTGTCGTCTGCTCCCCTGATAAGTTGGAAAACAAAAGCAAGCTCTTCTTCAGTAGATCACGAGAAAACGGACATCCTAGCCTATTCAATAAAAGCATCCCATAATACTCTATCTAGTCAATCGTCACTGGTGTCCACAAGGGAGGTCTTGCTTTTACTATCAACAGCCAGAGGCCGAGTAGTGCAGCAGTCTGGCAGATAATCCGCAGTCGGAAGTGACCACGCAGAATACCTAGCACACACGCGACTGGTAGTGATTGAGTTTCATCGAACCGTCGGTGCGACGTGTTCGAGTAATGCTGATGCATCGTCCACCTAAGTGGACATTGCTTTTGAACGGCTAAAGAAGAAACGTACGACCGCAATGGCCCTGATAGTTGGTTTCCCAGCACTGGAAGGATAGACTCTTGGTCCGGTTCGAATCAAGCATGCTATATCCCCTTACTTGCACTTGTGATGGAACGTACTTCGGAAATACGAAAAGACGTCTGCCAAAAAGGATCGTTGAAAGCATCGCTTTGAAAAGACACAGTAAAGAAGTTCAATAGCCCTATCCCTCAATATTGGGTTGAAACGGAATACCACAATTAAACGAAAGAATTTCTAAGAAAAATTGCATTATTTCCATGCGATGCGTTAAAGGGCTCAGGGGACAGTTGAAGCCAACGCAGACCGGGTCTTGAAATCAGGACTGTGTAAACGATCAAGGTTGGTACACGACATAGTTTAGCCATGGCCATAAACCTGCTCCGGTGAGATCTATCCACCTTAACCCTAAAAATACGATTGGAGCTGGTAACCGTTATGATTACTAGCCCTAGGCGTGTTAATTACTGCGATGTGCACGGTTATCGTAAGGGTGTTAGATTCAAAGAGTGGTTCCATTCAATGTGAAACGGGTTATAGCCCAGTCACTGCCTTGTGCACGTCTAGTACGCATGATCCCCTTGATCGTCAAATGAGTGACAGGCACATCAAATAAGTGGGTCAATCGTGGTTCCCATCCACATGCCCTCAGTCTCATTCCTTGGGGTTTACACCGGACATGAATTGTGTGGATGATGGAGCTGTGAGTGATGCAGTGCAAGCCACCCATGGTCCTTCTGTAGACACAAGTATCCTGTAGTCGTTCGCGTTCATCGGGATAGACAACTCCGGAAACGGGCACTACCAACTATACATTCGTAGATTAGTCCTATAAAGTCAGAAGTTCGCAGTTGCTCGAGGAGAAGTATTTCCGGTAGGCCCTATCAGGCATTTGCATTTATGGAGTGAAATTAGGGTGCGGCTTCAATCAATGGCTCAGCTGGGCTGGCTGTGCACACCGCAACAATTAACACTCCTGGAGCTAGTAGTCAAGGTGGCGGTTTTCGACAGATAGGCACCCAGTGGCACAAGCTGCAGATATCCGGAAGTCATGTGGTCGGAAGCCGGCAGGAGTTCGAGGAACGCGCACCACGGACGAGACCCAGAATGTCGAAACGACTGTACGGTGGTTTTCCAGACGTGTGGGAAGCTACGTGACTGAGAGAGAACTGTGACGAACTACACCAAAATTCACATTATCCATTAGCTATTAGATTAAACGTGCCAGATCTGGAATAAAAATCGGCAGAGTATCTAACATACAGCATCAAGTACTCATACGTACAGGGATAGCTCAACGGGGAAGTGGCATACAAGCCAGACATGCTGCATTACTGGATTGAAAACAACAAGAGGAAGTCATGTTTTTATTAAATACTTGGGACCGAGAACGACACCGAATTAAAACACAGTAATCCTGATCACCTTCTGCCGAAAGAATCCGTAAATAGAAATCTTTCAAGTGTACTTCATAGCTGAGCTTACACTACAACTTTAGAGCAGTAACTCATGAAGTCTGTTGCTTGTGAACTAACCAATGAGGCCGCGGTGTCCAGAATAAACCAAAGAGAGCATATGGATTTCAGAACTAACATGTGAGAGTGAATGGTCGATTGCAGTAATTGTTAGAAGGAAGGAGATAATCGATAATGTCGCATGCCCAGCAATATAAGTAGAGTCGTTATGATGAAATGTAAGAATCTATCTCTCGGGCTGTTATAAAAGCTTGTTGTTAGGATCCTCATATTTCGATTGGGCGATGTGGCTGGGACGGAATCCACAACGGTTTTATCGTGTGACATGTAATGCCAGTAGGATGGGACGCTGGTAACGGACCTCGAGGCAAGGAAGTTCGTTCTGTTTGGACAAACCACACCGTGGGTTGGAACAGCTGGGGACAGCGTTGTAAATCTCCGTCGGAAACATCAAGCCAGAAATTAGGCAAGCGAATTTGTGGAAGAGACTAGCAATAGCTAAAATGTCGTTGCTCAATTGAGTGCTTCGGAGAAGAACCAGAAAAACATCAGGAGCATCGATTTTTCCCGAAGATGCGAATCAGTACGTAATGTGTGTCCGCACAAAGCTTAGACAACAGTGAATGGAATGATGACAATAGTACTACCACCATCCGACATAGCAGAAGAGGAACAAAACTTCATCAATACCCCAGACTCTCGCCGAATGTGTGATTTGTCGGGGAGAGAACAACAAAGTAGAGCACGCCGAGTGGCTATGCAAAGAATGTGGAAACTCACCGATTTTGAGTCGGGACCTGAACTGCGAGTAAAGAAGATGGAATGCGAATAAAGCCAACGAGGCGGAGACGACAGATATGCCCAGCTAACACGCTGCACTAGTTGGTTGCAATGGTGCCGCGAACTTCGCCAGTGGTTCTTTGCTAAAACAGAGAAAAGAAAATGCCTGAATCAAGTGAGAACAAACCGTTAAGAGAATGAAGGCTGCGGAAGGCGCATCGATGGGTGGAAAAAGAACCGCATAAATTAGAGAACCACATGTAATGGCGGCTAGTAATTTTGGCAAACGGAACCAACACGGGGTCAGTGGAAAGAAAGCCAATCGCGTGCCCCAAAGGTAAGTTGATTATGATGGCATGGGAAGAGGACAATGAACGATTGGTTCGGCGCAGTACAAACAAAGCACAGCGTGGTCTCAGAAACGGGGAGGAGCGAATTAGACCAGATCAACATCGAGCAAATAGCACGCACCAAAGGTGATGGTAGGGGATTCAATGGTGGTTATTCGACTGCGTGTAAGAAACGGACGTGAGCACAGCGGACAGAAAGCCAATCAGGTGTATTCCACGCAAACTGAGTGTAACTGTGCACTGACGCTTGACTTGATGCACTGTTAGTCCGGGTTGATCGTTCTTGTGTTCACCTGCTCGCCGAGCTTCGTAACTGGCATGCGAACGTGTCATCACCACACGACGTGACTTCCTTAGTGCGCTGCTGGGTCAAATGTAATCCGATGACTTGGTCGTCGATTCGTGATTGATCAGAAAGTGGCTCTTGAAATGACCTCCTCGATCTGTGTCCCATGACCTTCATTCGTCTGCCCAACTTCTCTAATAGACACGGGCGATCCGTGGGATGGTTTTGCCCCGGCTGTTATGGTTGTGTTGTTGTGGCGCGGTTAGCTGCCCACGACAGCTTTTAAGCTGTTTTAATTCTCTCGGTCTTAACGTTTGGTAAACTGGATCAACCTCGACGTGCATGCTTATTTAGTGCTTAGTAGAGTACCATACTTCGAGGAACTCTCTTCCTTTTCGTGTCTTTCCTTGCGCTAGGACCTCAGCGTCGTTCCAATCAAAGCGATGTCCTTTTTCGTCTGTATGTAACGAAACCAGTGAGAGAGCGTAATGGTTCTTACAGGCTCTGTTATGCCACTGTATTCTTGCTGACAGTCGCCTTCCTGTCTGACCCACAGTAGTTATCGCAATCTTGATAACGTATCTTGTAAACAACAGTTCGTCTTTAGTGGGCTCCAAGTCTAGATTCGGGTTTCGACAGGGTTCTCCTCAATGTGCCAGTTGGTTTGTGAGCCACTGTAAGACCGTGCTGCTTGAAGAATCTTGCTTCTCTTCCACACGACTATCACCAGTAGCGTGTGAGCTAGGGATACTAGGAGGTTGTCCGAACCTGTGCAGCACCTACCGGGGACCTTAGGTTCCAAGGCAGGCAACTCGCAAACGATGAAGAGTAAAGTCAGAGCGAGGGTCGCTTATGGACCGATTTGACACATGGTGCATAGGTTGAAGATAAGATGTAGAATGGCCATCCTGGGTTTAAAAGATGACCCGGCTCCCTGGTGGCGTGGTTGGTGGGCTCTTGATAGCAAAAGCGAGGAAAGTATTCATGAACAAATAAAGAACTGAACGGGGGAAAAGCGGTATTGGAGACGGCGTCAGGTGGATAGTTGATACCATCCGACTGACCCACAAGCTAGTTGGATAAAAGGAAGTCCCACTGAGGGAAAAACCATGAACAATTGATGCAACAGTCACTTCCGAGGTAATAGGGGTGCAACTGTAGTTTCCCCTAAGGGAATTAGAAAAACGTACGCCTTTTTCGACCGCGGCCAACCATAGGTGGAAGCTGGCAGGTAACCCTTTTGACTAAGACGACAGCCTAGTTTGAGGCGAGTAGTAGCGAACCATTGAGTACAGGGTGGTGATTTTCCATCGTCGGCTACAAAACGTAGCCTTCTTCCTACATACCAATCGAGCTGAGCGCATAAATCATAAGCTTTTATCTCTCATGGCGGTTTTGAAAGAAGAGCCATCGATCTTTCCCCAGCCTCCAAAGAAGAGAGTATTAGGATTGAATCTGATTTGAGTGGCTCCCAAGACACTTGGAAGGTGCTATCCGTCGCAGCTCAGTGGATCACAGACACGTTAGTCATCGCACCATCTTAAGACTTCCACTCGTCTTGGTGGAGGTAGTGTGTGGTGAGGTAAGTGGGAGTCTCATATCTGTTCAGAGGCAAAACTCTGTCCTTCAGGAACCAACAGTTTATTCGACAAAGCAATTTAAGCAAAAATGACAGCAAAACTGGTTTATAGAAAGGCTCGATGTACGTAAGTAGACAGCTTCCATAACTAACGACGTTCCTGCATTTAGGTATCTTTGCTTCAGTCAAACTCACTTCAGCGCTGTCAAATATTAACCAATCAGCACAGACAAGAAAGTGCGTAGACGTACACTGACTGCTGTTCATTTGTTCGTCGAGCCTCGCAAGCTGGTTGCAAACGTTTCGTCATCAATCCAGGTGACATCAACAGTGCTGAGTTGGCTGTAGCTTGGTAGTGAACATCGTACCAGTTACTGTGTCGGTCCTTATATAGATTACCGGCGCTTCGTTCTGATTGCCTGATCGAAGTAGTCATTGGGGCTAGATTGATTTTGAGTGGCTGCAAGTACAAGGTTCCGACGTGGAAAGATACTCACAGGTCCATTGTCTTCCGCTGATGATTCATTATGAGTGGATGTTCATCGATGTACTCAATGGAAATTGATTTTGATTGGTGACAAGAATGATGTTCCGAGGTGGGAAAGTAGTCGCTGTTCTGTCGTCACCCACTGATGCATTATCTTGATTAGGTGTTCATCTATGTACACAATAGGACTAGACTGAATCTGATTTGTTGCAAAAAGGAGGCTCCGACGTGGAGATTTTTGCAATCCCATTGGCTTGTGAAGTTAGTGTCCAAGCGCTAGGTTCACGGTAATTATCCTGTCCGTTGTCTGGACATTGGATTGTTGTTATATAAACGGTGACTCGCATTTCGTCCGATTTCTTTTTGTCGGAGTGGTCGGTATACTGAGACAATGTTGATATATAGGTTGATTGGATTCTTCGTGGAGAACAAAACTTATAGAAACTCTCTTGATCTTCTTTTTCTACCTCGTGCCAATACTTCTGTTTTGACTCAATCGAAGTTGTATCCTACCTCAACCACGTGGATGAAACTACGGATAATGCATAATGCTTTTCGCAGATTCTTTTGTGCGTTCTTGCATTCTCGTTGCTAATTTTCCTTCGGTTTGGCAATTTCTGCAACGCAGTTTGTGTACGACATTCCGTCGTCTGTGCGCTTCCGGATTTCCCTTGGAATTTGACTACGTTTTATCAAGGTAGCAGTCAGTTTGTGTGCTACGATGAAGTTTGAAAAATTTAGCCGCTATTTCGGATATAAAGCAAAACAAACCCCCCATCGTAGACTGACTGTTTGTGTAGTTGTGGTTCAGACACTTACGGATGAAGCTTCGCAGGTTGGGAAAGTGGACATAAATTTGTTTGTTTTCTTCTTTTACTCTAGTCCTGTTTTCCTATTCCGCCATGGTTCCGATGGCACATTATCTGTACACAGATTGTGATGACTAAGGTTCGCGGCATCCGGTTTCGGATTTGCCTGTCACTGTGGCCAGACACAGGACGCCTGCGCCTACAGAGGGTCCATGGATGGCTTTCGCTGCACCACCCACACACCCCATGTCCAGTGTAAACCCGAAGGAATAAGACCGGGAGGCATGTGGATGGGAGCCATGTTTCATCAACGGAGCCGGCCCACACTCCTTCACAGGTAAACACAAGCACGCTGTATTTGGGAATCAAGCGCACACAAGGTGGTGGTTGGACCGTAGTCCGCTCCACACTGAGTGCATGGAACCACCCTTCGAGCCTAGCATGACCACAAGGACCGTGCACCCCGTCCCCTCCAGCAACGACCAACTGGCTCCTGGAGCCAGATGGACGAGGTAGTGGGTAATAGACAGGTAGGTACCTTGTCAACATGCACATCAAGTGCAGCCCACAGCGGGGATATCAAACAAAAGCCAATCACTTGAGATGACATTAGCAAATAAAATGCATTCATTAAAGGATACGGTTATGCCGACATAACTTCGCTAAACTAGCATATGAAGTAAGTTGGTTAGCAACGAATTCGCGATAAGTACAAAATGTCCGGGAGTTATCCAAAAATGCTGCAAACGCAATAAGGTTAATGAAGATAAGCAGAATCAGTGTAAGCAAAGTGGTCAGTTAATAGATAATTCAGGTAGGCATAACAAACCAAATAAAGTGGAATGAAATTTATCCAGATTAAAAAGACCTAGTCTAAGTGTAAGTCGTGATCAATCAATCAATCAATATATATATATATATATATATATATATATATATATATATATATATATATATATATATATATATATATATATATATATATATATATCCCCGGTGTGGATGCGCTTGATGTGCATGTTGACAAGGTACCTACCTGTCTATTACCCACTACATCGTTCCTACTGGCTCCAGGAGACAGTTGGTCGTTGCTGGAGGGGACGGGGTGCACGGTTGTTGTGGCCGTGTTAGGAGCAAAGAGTGGTTCCATGCACTCAGTGTGGAGCGGACTACGGTCCAGCCACCGCCTTGTGTGCGCTTGATTCCCAAATACAGCGGGCTTGTGTTTACCTGTAAAGGAGTGTGGGCCGGCTCAGTTGATGAAACGTGGTTCCCATCCGCATGCCTCCCGGTCTTATTTCTTCGGGTTTACACTGGATATGGGGGGTGTGGTTGGAGCTGTGGGCGGTGCAGCGCAAGCCATCCATGGTCTTTCTGTAGGCGCAGGCGTCCTGTGGCTTGCCACAGTGACAGACAAATCCGAAACCGGATGCCGCCAACCATATATATATATATATATATATATATATATATATATATATATATATATATATAGCCGCTACTATCTTTCGCTTAGCTTCCATGGTATTACTGTGTGTTTGCACTCTGTGGAATAGTGTCAGCACACAGTCTAGTTTGTGGCATTTTGGGTGGTTGCAATTGAAGTTCAGAATTTGGTCTGTTTGTGCCTTT